TCTGGATTTGTCATCTCGCTGTTGCTTATTTTCCTTGCAGATCTACTAGCAGTGAGGCATTGTAAGGACAATGCTATAAGTGAGATCTGGGCAAGACTTGGCAAAATTTCGGCTTTCAAAAAAAAAAAATTGCGTGTTTTTTTTTTTTTTTTTTTTTTTTTTTGTGCGAAGATAGGGTAGAGATTCGATTTTCAGCAAGAGAATAAATCCAGTTTCCGAGAATATGACAACCTCCGATTATGCCTACCAACGAAATGTTGGTGGCTTCGCAAAAGTTCGGCTTTCAAAGACCAACTTTTTGCAAAATAGGTTGGAGATTCGATTTTCAGAAAGGGATAAATCCCGCTTCCCTGAATATGACAACCTTCGTCATAACCCTAACGTGCCTAGAAAACGAGATGCTCACGTCAGAACTTTTCTGATACTAATAGCAAAGAGAAAACGAAATGCTGCTGTCAAAAATTTTCGAACGAAATGCAAGCATCAGAAATTTTCGGATAAAACAAAATACTATTATCAGAAATTTTCGGATATTTGTTGCATGAAAACGAAATGCCAATATCAAAAATTTCCCGAAATGCTAATATCAGAAAATTTTGGATATTTATTGCGTGAAAACGAACTGCCAATATCAGAAATTTCCCGAGATGCTAATATCAGAATTTTTCAGATATTTATTGTGTGAAAACGAAATGCCAATATCAGAAATTTCCAGATAAAACGAAATGTTAATATCCGAAGTTGCGAAAGGAGAGAAAAAAAAAAAAAACGAAAAAAGAAAGAAAAAAAGATTTGCAGAGATTTTGACGAAACCCTACTTGATTCACCAATCAATCAATCAATCAATCAATCAATCAATCAATCAATCAATCAATCAATCAATCAATTGATTTGGCAATCAATCAATCAATCAATCAATCAATCAATCAATCAATCAATCACAATCAATCAATCAAGCAAGCAAGCAAGCAAGCAAGCAAGCAATAGATCAAGTGAGCTGGCTACTTGATTGGGCGGATCTTGATGAAAAAGATCCGCTCCGATACCAAACTGTTGCATACCATCACGGTGCAGACCAGACCAAGAACCGATCTTTCTCGCCAGATACAAGATAGCACAGCGGAAGGCTCAAATACCACTGATCCGATCAATCAAGATGCCATGCAGACCAAACATACATCATCATCATTTCATGGTGTGAAGGGGCCGATGCTCACACAGGAAGAATGTGTCAGTCCCCTGATCATGCACAGACGAAGAAGAGGGAGATTAGACGAGGGGGAGGGGGGAAGATGGAAATGTCGTCAACACCAAGTCTTCGATACAGTCCCAAATAATCCCTCGCCAAAGGTCTGAATCCCGATGCTGAGTCTGAACCCAAATGTCGTCAAATCCCAATGTCG